AAATAAGGTTTTGTTTTTTAATAAGTGATTGATAACAGGGAATTTTACATTTACTAATTAAAAGAAAGAAGAAAGAAAAAAACTTTGATCTCAAGTTATTCTTTCATTGAGTCTCCTACCAAAAGTGGTTTTCCCCTTAGTTTGCTCTTTTATTCATCTTTCTTCTTCTGGCTTTCTCTTGCCCTTTTGACTTTGGCAATAACATAATGGTACCTTTGTACTTTTGTGTTCTGCTGGGAGGGATAGTACTTGATTGTTTCCTCGAGTAAATGTGGCTCCTGCTTTGGGACTTACTTGGAAGATTTTGAAAGCTAAGTGAGGATATTGCTAGCTAAACTTCTCTGAGTGTTAGTTCCCTTTTCTTGAGTTCATATTTTTGACTGTTAAGCCTTTTTTGAATCATGCTTTAACCAGGTCTCTTACTTTTTATGCCCCCTTACATAGTGGACTGGGTTAAGATTATGTAGTGAGAGCCAACTGTGAACATGTGTTAGATTTATAATTAAGGCATTTTCTCATGTATTTATTTCTACTTTTCTCTTCATAGTTTTGGAAGACAGGTTTTCCCTGCTATCCCAAAGTAGAATGTTCCTGTGAAACTTTTTGTAAGCCAAAGTGGCATAAAGGGAAGAAGCAGTTACTATTAATTTATATGGAAAATTTTTTAGTGTTCCCAGACCCCCAAAATAACCAACCAAATCATGCCACATAACACATAAAACCTAAAATAACATTAACATATAGTAAAAACAGGAATAATACAATAAATACACAGCCTGTATAAAGTACAAATAATTTATGTACAGTGTAGTTTCACTTACCAGAATTGGGACGACAGCAAGCACACCAGAGGGCTGACAGGTGGTGATGGTAGTGTGTTAGGCTGGGGTGTTGGAGGTTGGGGTGGTGGAAGGTAGAGGAATAGAGTATAGGGGAGAGAGAGGAAGAGTGTCATCTATTAACATCACTGTCTAAATCTATCAGTGCAAGCAGGTCACTAATGTCTACACCTTCTTCTGTGTCTGCCTACCTTGATGTCAAAGGTCCAGGTTCATCCTCTGCTGTGGCTAATGTGGCTAATGTGGCTGATGTGGAAAGCTTGAAATACAACAGTATGCTCAACTGCTTAACCTCTCACATTTTTTTATACTACAGTTATTTGTAGGCATTCAAAACATTCTGTAAACCTGCCCCTAAACCTACATGCCCTTTCAAAATTAAAGGCATACTTTTCTGCAGTTACTGCAGCGCTGTCCATCATAGCAAAAATCTCATGTGCTTCACGTTCAGTTCTTGGATAACTTCACTTTTAGGCTTGTTCACTGTTGTGTTCAATGTCGATTCGTGTTCTTTCCTCTTGCAATTGCATCAGCTCTTCATCTGTCAATTCTTGATCGTGGGATGCCAAAACCTTCAACATCATTTTCATCAGTTTCCACAAACCAAGCCTCCTTAGCCAAAGTCAGTGTTGCCATATTTATTGTTGTTGGTTTGAAGCCTTTAAAATTGTTCCCTGCTTCAGGAGACAGCCCTCTAAGCACTGTTTCACATCCAGACTGTAACCCTATCAAGAGCATCTCCAAAGTTGGCGATTGCCAGTTTTATGTTGTAGTCTTTCCAGATCCCTTGTAAAGATGCTTTGGAATTGGCTTCTCTGTCAATGGCACTTAGAATAAGATGTGTCACATTTTGCATATAGTAAGCCTTAATTATGGCTATTAGGCCTGGGACACATGGTTGTATCAACAACATCATATTTGGCAGGAAGAACACACAGGAATGTTATTGCCATACTCAGTAATGCCAGGTGGATGAGCAGCACAATTTTCAACAATCAGAAGACACCTATTATCAAGATTATTTTCTCTACAGTATTTTCAACAAAAGGACTAATGTACTCATGTACTCAGAAAAAAATCACTTGGATATTCCAACTGCTTGGATGTGAATGAAACACAAGAAGTGTATTCTTATCAATGGCTTTAAGTGCCTTTGGATTTTCTGAGTGGTACACTGGTAGAGGTCTAAGGATAGCATCACCAGTGGTGTTAGTAGTGGGCATTAAGCCTGTCCTTTGACGCCTTGTGTCCCTTAGCCTGCTTTTCTTCTATTGAAATAAATGTCTTGCTCGGTTTTTCCAATAATAAATTGAAGTTAAATACTTGCTTATATGAATAACCACCTGCTATAATTATTTTTGTCAGTTCTTTTGGGAACTTTTCAGCAGCTTCATTATCAGCTGAAGCACTCTCTCCAGTAACCTTTAAGCTACGAAGCTGCCCTTGGCTCAAAACCGATCAAACCACCCATGACTACCTTTAAATTATACTTTTACAACACTTTGATCATCATTGTCCAGTACTTTCCTTTCGGCTTACTAAAAAATTGATTTATCCTGAAGTGTAAGATAACTTAATGGAACACCATGCTTTGTTCACCCACCAATCCACTCAAGCAATAGACTTTCCATTGCATCCATTACTGGATGCTGACTAAAAGAGACCACTTTCCTACTGGCAGAACCAATTAGTAACTTCAGCAACTTTGAAGATTGTTTCTCTCTGAGTAAATAGTATGAAGGGTGGATGCAGGCAAGTTCAGTGCATACACAGGGTCTTTATTTCATTCACCACAATTGAAATGCTTAATTACATCCAGTTTATGCCAAGTGTAACACCCTTACAAACTCTTAGGCTTTTCTGATACCTTAGGACACATCTTGCTTATGGATGCACACAATAAATGGAGATAAAGCACAGATGCTCATAGACAAGTTCAGAGCTGTGGCAACTTGGAGGCTGAGATGCTGAGTGTAGCTCCTGGAGAAGGAACTTGGCAGCCACTCAGTGCTTGGGGAGTGTGCTTGCCTCTCTAATGGCTGGCTGCAAAACAAACATTGATTGCAGTATTTGCTTTTTGCTATTTTCCCTGTAATTTCCCTGGGTTTCTTTTTTTTTTTTTCCTTTTTCAGTGTGTGCCCTCTTTAATACCCATCACCAGGCTAACCCATCCCCCTAGCCCTCTCCTGTCTAGAACCCTCAGTTTGTTTCTCAGAGTCCATAGTCTCTCATGGTTCGTCTCCCCCTCTGATTTCCTCCCCTTCATTTTTCCCTTCCTACTATCTTCTTCTTCTTCTTCTTTTTTAACATATAATGTATTATTTGTTTCAGAGGTACAGATCTGTGATTCAACAGTCTCACACAATTCACCCTCCCCAATGTCCATCACCCAGCCACCCCATCCCTCCCACCCCCCACCACTCCAGCAACCCTCAGTTTGTTTCCTGGATTTCTTTTAGTTAGCAGAAATAGGTACTAATTTAGGTCTTTTGTGAAAGCGAACTTTTGAAAAGCAGGAGATACCTATAATGAGAAAATAATTCCCAGAATGGATAGTCTCTTAAGTTATGGTGAGAGAATTCCGAGAAAGAGCTAAATATGATTCTAAGTAAATGTCATCTTTTCCAAGTAAAACCGCTTCTTCAAACTGAAGTAGTTGACCAATTTTTTAAGACTATAAATGATAATTATATACCATAATTGAAAAAAAATGCATGAAACTGCATTTTCGTGATCTGTTTGGTTACTAGTATTTTGTATATAGTCTAAAGTTTGAACCAAAGCCCCATGAGGAAAGGACTGTGTCGTCTTGTTTTACTGCTGTTTTCTGATGCCTAGGGTGGTATCTAGCATGTTAGATGCACAATAACTCCTTGGATGGGTGGGTGGATGGGTGGATGGATGGATGAACAAACAAATGAAGTAACTTTAAGGTTATGGTGTTGAATGCACTGAATTTCTAGAATAAAATGCCATGTATGGTGGATTTAACTTGGTTTTAAAGGTATTAAAAAAAAATGTGCTTTGTCTAGTCCAACCAGGAGTCTTAATTTTAAAAGAACTCTGGCCTAGGGTGACTCACTCAGTTAAGCGTCTGACTCTTGGTCTCAGCTTGGGTCTTGATTGATCTCAGGATCTTGATCTCAGGATCATGAGTTCAAGCCCTATGTTGAGCTCCACGCTGGGTGTGGAGCCTAATTTAAAAAAAAGTTATATATATATATATATATATACACACACACACACATATGTATGTGTATGTGTATATGTATGTACACATACATATGAAAGAACTCTGGCTTAGCAGGAACTCTCAGAGGTGAAGCCAATATTTCTGTGTTTTTTGTTTTTTGTTTTTCCTTTTTGGTGTTGTGTTTTTTGATACATTCTGGTAGTCAAATATGTGAAAAATTTTAAGTGGGCTTATAGTTTTATTCTATAATTTTCTCTGCAGTTTCTTCACTTTAATATTAATTAATGCTTATTTCTAGTTGAGCTGGTAACATTCTTCTTCCAAATGTTGCAGAACTTTTAACCTCCTCTGATTAGAACTTTTTCAGGAAGTAGCCTGCAAACAGAAAAATATGTGAAATTTTAAGAGAATCTTTCTTAGAGATTTTTAATTCAGAATCTCTAAAGTGAATTTTACCATTATATTTAGCCATTTAATGTTTATTTTTTAAATCAGTAGATGTAAATTAAATGCCAGCTGTTGAAAAAAGAACTTTAAGTCAATTGAAGGATACACAGAGAAGTATTTATCAAGAAAAAATTATGTAGACACATAGAAGTGTTTTTAGTGTGTGATCTACTTATAATGAACATCTTACATGAAATTTATCAAAAGCTAGGAATTAAATGTAGTTATTAAATATCCTCAAATTTACTTGGGGAGAACTTTTCTGTAATTTATAGCCAGAAATAGTAGATATGATTGTCTCAACATTTCTTGCTGTTTATTTAGTGCTTTGGCTTAAAAATGTAATAAAAATTAAAATCCAGAAATAAAATTCATCCCTCAAAATTCAGTTGATGTCTAATTTTTTGTTGATTCCATTTGTGTTACATTTGATCATGTAATTTTATGTACAAGCCAACATTGTTTTTGTTGCTGTATGTAGTTGGTGCTGTGACTTGTTTGTGCTCATCTCTGTTCTGTAGGCAACTTGCCACTCCCTACTGAATAAAGCTACAGTAAAAGAAAAAAAGGAAAACAAAAAATCAGTAAGTTTGGAGAACTTTTTATTAGCTGTTTCTTTCAAAGCAAAACAAAAATCTTTTGCTGTTTGTTAAGAACATCTTCACTTCAGCCTATTTGACCTTCACTGTAAAATCATTCTACTAATTCTGGCACAAAATAGCTTTCATTTCAATTAACCCTGGAATTAAGTTACATCAAAACATTCTCTGTGTTCCTTTGGTTTGATTTATCCCAAAGGCATTTTGGGGGCATTTGTTGCATTGGATATCCCTCGTCTAATTTTATTATTGTTATGTTTAAAATTATAAATGAATGCAAAAGAAACTTAATTTCAAGGCCTTAGGAAATGCTGACTCTCTTCATTCTTGCTTCTTGTTGCAGGTAATGTGAGTGGTTTCCTAGACGTGAAAGTTTTTCTTCATTGTTAGAAGTATATGGAGGGAAAGTGTCACTTTCTAAATCTTACCTAAAAGTTTCATTTTTTACTCCTTATATTTTTATCTAAACAGTCTCAGCCAGAATCTAGATATTTGTGCTTAGGTTATAAAAATCCTAATGGTAAACCTCTACCTTAGAGAAAGTCATTATTAAACTATTGGGACTGAGAATATAGTACTTTTGAAATAAAGGAAAACTCAGTGACTCCCTATTTGTAGAGAAACATGATAAGAATATACTGCCTATTTCTATGAACTTGCCCTAACTAAAAGGAAGAAAATTACAGTATTCATAATTATTTTCTTCCCTACGAGTGGAATTTGGTCCAAATGTGCATTCATTTTGAATTTGTCATTGTCACTATGACTTCATATAATCCAAATGATTTTAGAGAAAGATGTAAAAAAAAAAACCTTTAGGAGTCTTGTAGGTAGTTTAGGTACAAAGGTAAAATTTAGAATTTACATTTGGTTTCATCTTTCATTCCTTGTCTAAGCTTTACACATAATAAGTTCCTGTTTTAAATTCAGAACTAAATTAAAATTTAGACACCTGTGCTTTTATGTACACTCAGGATTTTGAGTATGTTAAGTAAGTTTGGTCAGCTGTGAGCAAATGGATTGGATTGGACTGGATGGCTGTCTTGCTTAAATCATTTCTTTCTAATGCTTCTAATTCTCAGCGTATATGGGTTTAACATATATACACCATATATGGGTTTAACATATATACACCACTGTTGAAATTTACTATTTCTAACACTCTTGTTCAGTGTTTTACTAATGGCATTGTGTAGTATATCACAAAAATTAAAATTCCAGCTCTCTGTGTTTCTCTAAGAGCATGTTTTCTAGCCTCCTAACACTGCTTTTTTTTAAATTAAGATTTTGTCTAAAATTGTTCTTTGAAATGTTTTCTACTAGTGTTATTTTCAGATTTTTTTTTTTTTTTAAAGTTTCTGGGTAATGCTGAGTTTTGGAATGTATTTCTCAGCACAGGTGATATGAGGTCCTCATGGAAACAAAGGGAAACTAATTGGTAATTTGAGGTATTTTAGAACACATTCCAAAGTATGAAGACAGTATAGTCATCATAAATTTAAAACGTTGGTTTATGGAGTCTTGGCTTAAGAATTTAATGATCTTTTCTTTAAAAAGCAAGCTCTTTTTTGGAGTATATGTGTAATGGATTGGAATATGTAAAATATAGAGAGAAGGTCCTGGCTCCTGGTTTATTAGCTGTGTAGTCATATTACAGATAATTCCATTTATTATACTCAATGTATAATTAGAACTCCTTTGAGAAGTTTATTGTATGCCTCACTTAGGTAATCAAACATGTGTGGGTAGTGATCCTCTTGCTAATGTAAAGTTTATTACTGTATTTATTTGTACCATGTTGTTCAGATTTTACTAAGGGGAGTAAAGAGGACATTTGACAGATAACTGGTTTTAGCATACAGACTAGCCCAACTTTGTTCTTTTATGCAGAATGTGTTTGGGATCTAAATTAGATTTTTTATAGATTAAAAAAAACCACTTGAGTATGTATACTATGAAGTAAAATTGCATTGATGTTCATTAGTGGTGAAAGAAAAAACTTTTTATAAATTGTCTCATGAAACTTGTTATACAGCATTTTTATTGATATTCATTACACATACCGGGTTTTAGGTCCAAAAATATACTATCATCAGTGAGATAAAGAATTTTATGATACCAGAAACAGTATTGTGTTTCTGAGGTTGTGGGTACTTTGAGTTTTGACAAGAATTAATTTTGAAGATGTGGAGGATAGTAAAGGTGTAGTACTTTTCAGAAGTTTGACAGTATTCTCCCTTTGGGAAATAATTCACCAAGATTTTCATTAAATTTTGAAATTGAATAGTATTAAGTATAAATCAGGTATAAATGTGAGTCACACTTTAAAACTTTTTTGTTCTAGACAAAACTATTAAGTAGCATTTTTCAAAAATGTGCTGGTTTTTATGAGATACTTTCATAGCAGGTTAAGTATTTTATAAATGGTTCTTTGGAAACCAAATTATGTCTTTTAATTTTTTAAAAACTGTTTTAGGATTTTAGTGGATTAAACTGAGTATGTGCTTATTCTTTTAAAACAACCTATTTGAAATTAAATATAAAGCAGTTTTTAATCTTCTTGGTAACTCATTCCTTAAAGCTTTAAAATTTTGTAGGTTTGCTGTTAAGTTTCTTCTGTTTTAAGATTAAAATTTGGGAGTTCTAAAAGAACCACTCAGTAGCAATAGTGCTCCCTGAACATTCTGAAATTGTATGAAGAATTTTGTCTGTATAAATGTATACATTCATTTTTCTATTCCTACTCCCCAAAAGATTAAATACTGTACTAGAGTGGTAAAAACACTTGAATTTTCTTCTTAATTCTATTTCTAAAACTGTTTCAGCCGAAAGTAATTCTCATACGGTATTTGGGTTTTAAAACTTTTCTAGTAAGGCTGCTATATTTAGTCATCTGCACCAGCTTCCTTTTAAGTGTAAGGTTGTCCTTCATGCAATAGCACTCAGAGGACTTTAAGACAGAGAAAGCTTTCTGAGCTATGTAGTATAAATGAAGGTGAGACTATATTAGTTACAACTCCTGTCTGTTACCACCACTTACAGGGATATTCTTTGGCCTAAAAAATCATCCTCTGAAATCTTACATTTACTAATTCTCTGTCAGATATGGTAGAAAACTATTTAGAGATCTTAGGCAGTGAATAAGAAGACATTTAAAATGTATACCACATGAAACACTAAAGGGCATAGAAAGAAATGAAATAATCCTTATTCTTCCCAGAGTTAATCTGGAGTCAGTGAACCATATGAATTCGTGACAAGAAGTATTAATTCATTAAAGCATCATAAAGTAAACTAGAGTTTTGTGAGATTCTGCACATAAATCCCATTTTCTCATTTCCCCCCAATATCCTCTGAAATGTGCGTCTGTCCCTAGACTCCTTGGATATTGCCCGGAGCGCTGCGGCTTCGCTGCCGTAGCCACCACTGCTTTAAGCAGCAGTTAGTTACACTAAGCGAGAGCAGTTGCAGAGATTAAAATGTTATAAAAGTGTTCTTGAAAAATAAATAATCGGCTGTATTATCTGTAAAAAAAAATGTAAGTTTTAGAATAATATTTTCATATGTTAACTTCAAACAGGAGTCACTGAAAAGAGATGGGAGCTGAGCCGGTTTCCTAACACGTTCCCTAACCTAATGTGCCTATTACCTTACCTTCAGTGTAGAATGTTTTATAAAAAGAAAGAAAAATAATTTTAAATATTGGGCTCATGATGTTTTTCAGTGCGGGCAACCATTTCTTGTTTCCTTAACTTGTTTTATTTGACAGAATTATGCCCTGAGGTACACAAAAGGGTTCTCTTTTCTGCTGGTGGGATCCTTTTTTCTTTTAGGTCCCCAAGAATTCCTGTTCCTCCATGATTTACATAATAGGTCCTTATCTTATAAAGCATTCTGAGGAAGAAATGGAACTGGCAATAATGTTTCTTGTAAGTAAGTTTTTTCTCTTGATAGGAATCTAAAAAACTAACTCTTGTTTGTGTGTGGCAAGCATTTTGCTCAAGATAGTCAGTTGTACCAGGTATACAACAAAATGTAAGTATTTATTATTAGATATTGGATGTTTCGGGGTATGCTGTTGAAAGCTTAGCCTCGTCTTATAAGAGTTGACCACACTGTCATGTCTATTAATTTTAGTAAAATATGATAATTGTGTGAAAATTTGGTCTGCTTTTGTTACTTACCAAACTTGCAGTATAAACAACAATGACAAATGTAAGATTTTTTTTCAGGTCTCTTCCACACCACTCATTCATGAGGTTTTTCTTTTTTCTTAGATACCTTTGTTGTGCTTTAAAAGGATGGAGGGCAAGAATTGAGGATAAACTTTATTTACTGATATGTTGGGAGTAGGAAAAAAATAGAACTGTGTTGTTTACAAGGGTTGATCTATTCAGAGTTTTGGTATGAAAGTTTGACCCTCGAGCTTTTTCTTCCCATTTCCTTTTTAAATTCAAACCACATAGTCAATTCTCAACTCCCTTGTTTTTAGGTGGTTAGCCAGCGATTCCCTCAGAACAGCATCGGTGCAGTGGGAAGTGCCATGTTCCTCAGATTTATCAATCCTGCCATTGTCTCACCATATGAAGCAGGGATTTTAGATAAAAAGCCACCACCTAGAATCGAAAGGGGCTTGAAGTTAATGTCAAAGGTGAAGAATTATTTTGATAACTTATTTAAAATTTCCAGCTAAATTTTCCGTTTTTCATATTTATTGTACTTACACTTGAATTGATTTTTAAAATACCCTATGGTTCTCCCTTATATGCTTTTGTTTTATTTTTATTTGTTAAATTACAAAGGAATTAATTAGACTGATACCTGATGGGCCTTATTATCCTGGGAAAACAATCTTAGCAGATGTCTTCTGAAGATAGTTTTCTATGTATTCATTCTGGAAATTCTGAAATGGAGACTGTATGATTCTTTTTATTAAGAAAGACATTTAAAAATTTTAATATGTGTTTTTGTGTTTGTAAATAAATATATGTGTATATATGTAGTAATTTATATTTGGGAAAGAACAGAAACAACACCTAGTATTTATAGAATGAGTAATAATTTACTTTAATTACCAGTAGAAATTCTCTGTACTAAATGTCAATGAGACATTTAGTACTTTTTAAAGAATATATGATTGTGTACGCTTCATACAATGAATGATCTGATTTATAACCCTGTTCCATTGTTTAGATACTTCAGAGTATTGCCAATCATGTTCTTTTCACAAAAGAAGAGCATATGCGGCCTTTTAATGATTTTGTGAAAAGCAACTTTGATGCAGCACGGAGGTAGGACGGCTCTATTTGACTTAAATATTGTCAGTTTCATTTAAGTCTGGGTACTAGGTCTACATGAAGCTCCTGTGTAGGTTTTTTCCTCTTTTCTCTCTAGGTCAAGAGCAGAGTTAATCTTATTTTATTTTATGTAAGAGACAGTGGCAAAGTAAATCCATATTCTTTATAATTTGGTAGTGATTTCCATATTTGAAAACCAGCAGGGAATTTTGACACATCTACGAAAATAAAGGACTTGAGGTTGCTACAATATGGAGGAGAGGAAAAAGAAAAGGATTCCTTCTAGTAAAAACTGAAACCAAAATGGCACACATAATGCATAATAGTGTATAATGACAATTTTTTTGATGTTGAGTTTGAGTTGTTGGTTTATCTGTAAATGGGGACAATAACTGTTTGCCTGTCTGAGTTGACTTTAAAGAAACAAGTGATACAGTGTATGAGAAAGTGCTTTATAAATGTAAGTTAAGGTCCAGAATTCTGCTTTTTATGACGTTTTTTTAAGTCATAGTCTAAGCTAGACTTGTACAACTCTGCCTTCCAGTTTTTCGTTACGGTTCATATCAACTTCTTTCTAGTTGGAATTTAAAAGGTATATTGTGGGACTGCAAGCCGTATTGGAGAAAAAAGCGAATGTCAGCATAGGATTCATATTCTAGCAGATTGACTACCCTAGAAAGTTAAGAGAACAAAAGTTCTAATCCTGGCTCTGACCTAATAGGCTGTATAACTTTGGGGAGGTCTTTCTTTTGTCTTGTTTTGGTCTCCATTTCCTTATCTGTAAAGTACTGGCTTCGATCCAAAGTCTCATCCATCTAAATTTTGTTGTTGTCTGACTTTAAAACCTATTCTGAAGCCAAAGTCAGGTATCAGAAATGGAAAGCCATTGGGGCACCTGGGTGGCTCAGTCATTAAGCGTCTGCCTTCGGCTCAGGTCATGGTCCCAGGGTCCTGGGATCGAGCCCCGCATCGGGCTCCCTGCTCGGCGGGAAGCCTGCTTCTCCCTCTCCCATTCCCCCTGCTTGTGTTCCTTCTCTCACTGTGTCTCTCTCTGTCAAATTAAAAAAAAAAAAAAAAGAAAGAAATGGAAAGCCATTTCTCCTGTCTCTTCTTGTTTTGTTTAATGACAGTCATGTGTGAATAATATCATAATCCTCCATACTTGTAATCTTAGTTATTTTACGAAGTTACTTCATATACATTTGATTCAACAAAGATAAGAGTGTATCTGGTTTTAAAAATTCTAATGATTTTATATTTTTTAAGGTTTTTCCTTGATATAGCATCTGATTGTCCTACAAGTGATGCAGTAAATCATAGTCTTTCCTTCATCAGTGATGGCAATGTGCTTGCTTTACATCGTCTACTCTGGAACAATCAAGAGAAAATTGGCCAGTATCTTTCTAGCAACAGGTAGGATTTCACAGTCATGGAGATTTTGAAAATTCTTAGTTTTAATTTATAAAAACTATTGCTCCTGAATAATGCTTTTTTATTTTGCATCTGCTCAGAATAAGAATTGTGGTTTGGAAAGAGAAATGTAGAACTCTAGACTCTTTTAAAAAAATAAATAGGCAAAGGGTTGATTCATATTAAATGATCAACAAGCCCACCGAGGTGCTACAGACTTTTTTTTTTTAAAGGTTAAGCTGAAAAATCACAAATTAGCCCTTTGGGTTTTTTTTTTTCTGGTTTGCAACACATCAAATATGTACAACACAATGTAAAGGTTAAATTTACTAGAAACTCAAATGAGTATTGGCATCTGAATTTGAAGAGTAGCTCATTCTTGGGAATTTAATAATTAAAACATTGCCAGTGTTCTGAGTCTATTTGTGATACTCTCAAGTATATGCAAATAAAGCTTTATGCAGAAAACATTCAATAATTAAAAAGTATTAACTTGGGTATTATTAGCTGTTTTTAGTTAAAGTCTTTTGTAGCCTGAATCACTTGCTGTCCTTTCTAGTTGTGTTAAAGGGTCCAAATTCCTATGCGTGAGGAGTTCTCTTACAAATACAAAATGAGGGGCGCCTGGATGGCTCAGATTGTTAAGTGTCTGCCTTCAGCTCAGGTCATGGTCCCAGAGTCCTGGGATCAAGCCCCGCATTGGGCTCCCTGCTCAGCGGGAAGCCTGCTTCTCCCTCTCCCACTCCCCCTGCTTGTGTTCCCTCTCTCACTGTGTATCTCTCTGTCAAATAAATAAATAAAATCTTTAAAAAATATATATATATAAAATGATTCCAGAAAATCTTAAATGCTAATAAAAATGGTTTGCTCATTCATGGAAGTGGTAGAAGACCATGAAGCTAAGGCTAACTAATTAGGAGATGGTGGTTAAAAGAGAGAGCATTTTAATCCTTCATGAATTGTTAGTGGATTAAAGTGATATGGACATGACTGATGTGTGCCCTGATAGAGGAAGATTGAAGATGCTTTATCTGTCACACTAAAATAAACTGTGGAACCTTTAAATGCAAACATTCATTTATATAATTCACATACATATTCGTGTAGTTTGATGCTGCAGTTTTTTTTTAATTTGGTTGTTTTTAAAAAATACACATTCCAAACATACAGAAGAGTATAGGCTATAATATACAGAGACCCGTGTTTACCATCTAGCTTTGACATTAGTTTGCTATTTCACTTCAGATCTTTATAACATTTTATTTCTTGGGGGAAAAGACATAATTTCCCTCTATGTAACTGACAAAATAAGGAAATTATAGGTATGTATAACATAGTTTTGTGTGTTTTAAAATTTTGCAGAAGTTCTATACTGAATATAGTCTCTTCACACAGTATTTTGAGATTTATTATTTATTTAACTTATGTTAGTGCTTTATTGGATGACCGTATCAAGATGTATTTTCTCCCTAATTGATATTTAGGGTTTTTTTTGTTTTTCACTATTTTAAATAGTAATGTAATAAATATTCTTCATATTTGTCTCCTTGTGTATTACCTAAATGTGTAATTGCTGGGTTCTGGGCTTCTCACAGCCCCAACTTTACTAGATACTGCCACATTACCTTTCACAGTGTACATGCTGATGTACATTTTGGTCAGCGCTGTGTGAGAGTACCTCTGTGTACACATCCTCACCAAAGTTAGCATTAGTAAACTTCATAATTTTTGCCAGTTTGACATTTGTGAAATAGTGTTTTGTTATTCTTGTATAGTTTTAAATGCTTAATAGTTATTGAAAATCCATATTTACCCTGGTTAAACAGAGATCTGGTGTCAGGGACAAATATATCCCAATTTGTAAAGCGTAGTTTCTCAGAAAGGATTCTTTTCATCTTGTGGAAAAAGTGGATCACAGCGTTATTTTTACTTACTGATCGCCTGTTTAATGGTAATGGATTAAGAATACTAGAAAAAAGAAGAATTTTTATGTAAATTTTGTAGTTTGGGGAGTGGTCATATTTCTAAGATATCCCCAATGAATACTTACAACCCTTGTGAGGTCTTTTTGGTGCTACTTACAAATCATCAAGAACCACCAGCTGACAGTAAGAAGAAAAGCAACCAATGATAATCTAAAGCAATGTGTACTGCTAAATGTGAACTGCTACTTTTTTCTAAGTAGTTTGCTATATTTAGGGATCACAAAGCTGTTGGAAGACGACCTTTCGATAAGATGGCAACACTTCTTGCGTACCTGGGTCCTCCAGAGCACAAACCTGTGGCAGATACACACTGGTCCAGCCTTAACCTTACCAGTTCAAAGTTTGAGGAATTTATGACTAGGTAAGGTACCACGTTGAAATAATAATTGCTTTCTTTTGTTTGAGGTGCAAGGTTTACCACCGGGCCACTTGTTAGATATACTTGTATTTCTGATAGAGGATTATCAGTAGATGTGCCTAATGACCACATTGCCATATTTTGGGATCCCACTTTTTTCTTACTTTATATATTGTTGACATGTGCTTTGTTTTATATTTGATTTTCTTATAAAAATAATAGTATCTTATTGAATGGTACTTTGTCATGTTGCTTTGAGGTGTTTTTGCATTTAATACTTAGAAGGGAGGGTAGATAATCATATTATAGTTAAGGAGATGCTGCAGCTCAAAGTGAGTGACTGATTTGCCCAAGATTCCACACCTAATTCATATATCCTGTGGTTTTAAGTTCTGAACTCTTTCTGCCACACTGTAGCATTTTTCACAACCCTCCCAAAAGTTAATGCTATTAACTTCATTCAGATTGAGACTCAGAAAATTCAGTATATTTCAGTATTGCTATAAAACTTCTGTGGACATTTGTTTTGAATCTCATTTAGAAGGATTTAGTTTGTGAGGTAAAAGATCCTCATTGTTAAGACATTCACTTTTATGATGTTACAGCAAAAGTAGTGTGCTGAATCCTTTAGTCTTTAAAGTACCTTTCATGGTACTTTACACTTAGTCACTTAGTAAGTACTTCAATAGTGACTGTGGGTGAAGTGTTTTTTTCATAGTATGTGCTAGAAACAAATAAAGCAGAATGTGACATTCAGAAATTAATTCACATTACAGGTTTACATACAATGTGCCTTGCATTGTAAGTGCCTGTTATTGATCATATTGTGTGCACATGCCTCCAATTCTTTGATACCATTAAAAAAATGTGTGAATACATAGGGCACCTGGGTAGCTCAGTTGGTTAAGTGTCCAACTCTTGGTTTCAACTTGGGTCATGATCTCGGGGTCCTGAGATCAGGTCTGCACATTGGGCTCCACTCAGCACAGAGTCTGCTTAAGATTCTCTCTCCCTCTTTCACTCGTGCTCTCAAGCTTTGTCTCTCTTTCTCTCTCTCTCAAAAAAAAAAAAATGTGTGAATACATAACAATCTCCTTTCCAGCTTAATTTTTATCTTTAGCTCTTCTATTCATTTCAGTATAACAGATGTTTATTCCTACATGATTAAAGAAATATTTTCCACACAAAATTTTCATAGTACCTAATTGAAAATAGCATAGTAGAAGAATATAAAACCATTTTTTATTCAACATTACTGAGGACATCCTAGCCATTTTTCCACTTTTCTAAGAAAACCTTTATTGTTCCTTACCTAAGACCCTAACTTCCCTTATAAAACAACCTTCTATGCTTTTGAAGACTAAATGACGTAATACGAGTGAGACACTTAAGGTCTGGTGTATAGTGTTTAATAAATGTTAAGTGTTATTTTTGTTGTCAGCTCCCACTGATGCTCTTTGAGACCCACTTTTGTTTTAAAGAAATGAGGGTAGCTTTGTAATTTTCTTGGCTATAAAAATAAAAATTGTTGTATTATTCAAAACTTAGAAATCTAAAGAAGTAAAAAATTCTCAGCTACTCTTAGAAGTAATTCAGTTGACATCTGGCAGATAGCCGCACAGTCATTTATCTATACAAATGTGTACCTATTTCTCTTATCAAATGATATGTAGGTTGTTTCCATTAATATTAAACAAATGCTGACCTGGTACCAGCAACATGATGTACTGAGATAATACAACCTCTCTCCCCAACCCCCTTCAATACACAAGACACATAGAAATAGTAGGTAAAATGAACTGTATTTTTAAAATACTTCATTCCAGTATAATCAACATACATTGTTATACCAGTTTCAGTTGTACAATGTAGTGATTCAACAAATCTGTAGATTACTCAGTGTTTATCATGATAAGTGTACTCTTTTTTTAATTTATTATGTTAATCACCATACATTACATCATTAGTTTTTGATGTAGTGTTCCATGATTCATTGTTTGCCTGTAACGCCCAGTGCTCCATTCAGTACATGCCCTCTTTAATACCCACCACCAGGCTAACCCATCCCTCCACCCCCCGTCCCTCTAGAACCCTCAGTTTGTTTTTCAGAGTCCATAGTCTCTCATGGTTCGTCTCCCCCTCTGATTTCCCCCTCTTCATTTTTCCCTTCCTACTATCTTCTTTTCACCTATTTTCCCCATTCCCCCACCCACCTCTCCTCCAGCAACCAGTTTTGTTTTTTTCTCTTTGTTCATTTGTTTTGTTTCTTAAATTGCACATATGAGTGAAATCATATGGTATTTGTCTTTCTCTGACTTATTTCACTCAGAATTAGACCCTCTAGTTCTATCCATGTTGTTGCAAATGGCAAGATTTCCTTCTTTTTTATGGCTGAGTGATACTCCATTCTGTATATATACCAGTTCTTTTTTATCCATTCGTCTATCATTGGACACTTGGGTTGCTTCCATGTCTTGGCTATTGTAAATAATGCTACAATAAACATAGGGGTGCATTATTATCTTTTCAAATTAGTGTTTTTGTTTTCTTTGGGTAAATACCCAGGAGTGGAATTATTGGATCACATGGTAATTCTATCTTTAACTTTTTGAGGAACCTCCATACTGTTTTCCACAGTGGTTGCACCGGTTTGCACTCCCACCAGTAGTGCCCCAGGGTTCCTTTCTCTCCACATCCTCACCGACACTTGTTGTTTCTTGTGTTTTTTATTTTAGCCATTGAATGGACTTTTAATAAATGGTGTTGGTACAACTGAGTGACCATCTGGATAAAGGTGCTCATATCATTCATGAGGATAAACTCCCATGAAGAAGAAAACATGTGCAAAAAGGAAGGCCTTTTTAATCATTCAAAATTATACACCAATAAAGAAAAGGTTGATAAACTGAATTCTTAAAAAAAATAAATAAAAACTCAATGGCTTCTAGAGAAAAAAATACCATGATAAAAAACAATCCTATGGTTAATATTCCTGCCCAGTACTTTTCTTAGGATAGTCCTAAGAACCTACTCATTGTTTTCAAAGAGTAACACCTTGAAATTTTTGGTATTTGTTTTAAAATTGCCCTTCAGAAAGTGTTTTGCTTTTTAAACATTTTGTCATTTTAAATATTTTATCATTGCTCTAATCATGGGTTTTTAGAAATACTCAATGGACAATATAAAGCCTATGAGTTAATCTGTTTTTTGTTTTTTTTTTTTCTTTCAGGCATCAAGTACATGAAAAAGAAGAATTCAAGGCTTTGAAAACATTAAGCATTTTCTACCAAGCTGGAACTTCCAAAGCTGGAAATCCTATATTTTATTATGTTGCACGGAGGTAAGAAATACTATGTTTTAGTTTCTCTTAACGGAGTTTTAAAAATAATAACAAATGTAGAGAGATAGCAAGTTTGGTTTTTCCCATTTGACTTTACTGGAATTGAAGACAAGTTTACCTGGAAGAATATAGGTGGATAAATAGGCATCCTGTCCCAAAATGATACGTGGTATATTAGAAATTGCTTTTCAGGAGACCTATTTCCTATTGGCTTCTCTTTCTTACATCAGTTTTTTTATACTTCCTACAATGGATTAATTACCAAGAATAAAAGATTGCTAAATATCTTTCATTTTTAGCTGAATTCTGATTAAATAATATCTACAATATGACAATCAGGAACATTTCTTTTTAAGCAGAAATAAAACTTTAGGAGTCTTTTTCTAAGAACTTTCAGTAATATGCTGTGTCTGACAATATTGGGGTGGCCTAACAAGTAATTCAGAGAAGCTATGGAAAATTTCTATAAGGATAGCACAGATGACAGCCTGGAAAAATGCTTGCATTTTTTTTCATGCTGTGTCCAGGCTAGTTCTTAGAAAGCCTTTCTGGAAATGCTGTGAGCTCCTTCTTAACAATAGGTATGAGGCTTGCCTTGCCCTCCCTTTTCTTTCTTGCCTCCATTCTACCTTCCTTTTGAGAACTTATCTGTGATATTAGTTGGTGATTTTTACTTCTTTCTGTTGATGACATAAACTCATGGTAGTTGAACTTTAGAGACAATGTGATGTAACAGAGAGACCATTGGTTTTGGAATTTTAGGACTATGTGTAATCTTAATTTTGCTGTTCAGTAGCTATAGGAATTAATCTTCCCAAGTTTCCTGAATTTAACATAAATTGAAGAATTATGTCAGTAGATTGAATAGTCACGAGTGGCAAAAGCTTATCAGTGTGTAGGGAATAAATGGAGGCTGAGAAATAGTGGGGGAGGATTGAAGAAAAGAATGCAGAAGGTGGGAAATGCATTTAATCAAATAATCCAGTTAGTGTTAAGACCAAGGAGTCCTAAGCACTGGGTGTTACGGAATCAAGAGTATAGAAACTTGCATTTACCCTGAGCTCGCCTCTTGAACAATTCCTGAGTAACATCTTTTATTTCCCTTGAAAGTCTCTCCAACTTTTGTATCAGTACCCATTTCTAAATTGCCTAAGATAATTTTAATTTTCTTTCGCAATAGAGATGAACCATATTTGTATTTCAACCTCAACTTTTATTTATTTATTTATTTTTAAGATTTTATTTATTTGACAGAGAGAGCACAAACAGGCAGAGCGACAGGCAGAGGGAGAGGAAAGAAGCAGGCTCCCAGCTGAGCAGAGAGCCCGATACGGGGCTTGATCCCAGGATCCTGGGATCGTGGCCTGAGCTGCAGGCAGACGCTTAACTGACTGAGCCACCCAGGCGCCCCTCAACCCCAACTCTTAATGCAGCCAGTATATTTTGACCCTCCCTGTTTTGTCAAAGTAATTAAAAGTCAAACATTGGTGAGAGAGGCAGATGTGTGTCCTCCTACCCCTTTAAATTCCTGTTAGTTTATAAATAGCAAAGATTTCTGGAAAACCTCAAAGCTAGGTTTTTTCTTCAGGATCAGAAACTGTAAGATTGTGTTGCTTCTCTGCAGGTTCTAGAAAAGGCCAAGGAAAGTAGGATGGGCCTGATGCAGACACCCTCTGTTGGATTAAATCAGTGAGATTTCCAGGAAACCTATAGAACATGGTGACTTAAGAGTGCTAAGGATTCTCAACTCTGTTTCTTTATTAGCTGCATAATCTTAGACATTTTTTTCTGAATCTGTTTCTTCTTAGGTTTAAAAAAAAAAAAAAAGGTGAGGGGCGGCAGTTAAAGAAACTATCCTGTCTATTTTGTGACTTTAAAGTTCTGTACAGAGTATGTTTGAGGTTTTCTTTTCTTTTTTGGTTTTTGTTTTTGGATAGGACTCTTCCAATTTCACATTTTCAATATTTTGAGCTTTTTGTTTAGACCCTGGAGCTCCTCTCAGCTTTCATTTTCACCTGATTTGAAGTCTTAGCTCCAAGACAGTTGAGCACATGGTAGCTCAGAGCAGAGAGGCCCACTTCCTCCATGGTACAAGTCCAAAAGAAGATAGTAAGGGCTTTATCTCTACAAAGCCAACTTTGTCAAAGAGCGCTTGGGTTTGACTTCTCTTTTGATATTCTTGTGTTTCTGTGGCTTAGACTATTATGTATTAGTTAATATTTTTTGACCTGTAGGTCCCATTCTCCTTGCAGATAGTCCACGGACATTTCAGACTTGAAATATGCAAAACTTAATTCAGTATATATTCAAATCAGCTTCTTTACAACTATATTTTCTTTCTCAGTTACATCATTATTCTTTCCCATGCTAGAAACCCTAATCATTTAAAATTCTTACCTTTTTTGGGGCACCTGGGTGGCTCAGTCGTTAAGCGTCTGCCTTCGACTCAGGTCATGATCCCAGGGTCCTAGGATCGAGCCCTGCATCGGGCTCCCTGCTCAGCGGGAAGCCTGCTTCTCCCTCTCCCGCTCCCCCTGCTTATGTTCCCTCTCTCGCTGTGTCTCTCTCTGTCAAATAAATAAATAAAATCTTTAAAAAAAAAAAAATTCTTTTTCTTTTATCCTCCTCATTATCAGTCACCTAGTCTTGATTTTAGCTATGGGATCCTGATAAATTAGTTACATTGTTTCAGTTAGGCCTTTGTTATTGCAAAGAAGACATTCTTTTTTTCTCAGGAAGATAGGCCTCAGGAAAAACATAAATTGCACAGCAGAGCCTGCCCAGGTGTAGACAGAACTAGGTGGCTATCAGTTCTGGAACAGTTTACAATCTTTGACTCTCTCTTGGCTTCATATTCAACTCCCTATTTTTTCTCTTTCTGTATCCTTTCAATTTTAGCCACAGCTACTAACTCTTTCATTACCTCAGCACTGCATACTTCAAATTCCAAAAAGAGAATGTGGTTCAGCTAAAATATACCTGTTTGACAAAACTTTTCATGCTAGGTGCTGGTCATCCAGTACATTTCTGGCTGCCCCTTAAGTCAAGTACATGCTCCTGGCTGGAAATCATGTGATTCAAAATAACCACCTAGTGCTGTTCGTTTATCAGGGGCTATCTTTTGGTATTTGTTGTAATTTTTCTTTTTTTAAAGTTGGATCTTAATGGTTTAATATTTCTTTTAGGCACCTTGAAAATGCCCTTTGAAACCATTTTTCCCCACTGCCATTCCTGAGACTCTCTTATTAGCTCTTACCTATACTAATGCAGCATTATTCTCCCACTTCCTAATCCCCAGATAACTTCTTCCAGGTCATCTTTTTTTTTTTTTTTAATTTTTTAAATTAAAAAAAATTTTTTTAAAGATTTTTATTTATTTGACAGAGAGAGACACAGTGAGAGAAGGAACACAAGCAGGGGGAGTGGGAGAAGGAGAAATAGGCTCCCCTTTGAGCAGGAAGCCCGAGGTGGGGCTCGATCCCAGGGACCCTGGGATCATGACCTGAGCCGAAGGCAGACATTTAACCAACCGAGCCACCCAGGCTCCCCCTTTTGGGTTGATTTTATGCCCAGGAGGCTCTTCCTGTGGCAGCAATGTTTTGTGTTCTCAGCTTACCAACAGAGGGAAAATTATCTCTTTTCTAGTAGGTACAGCAGAAGTGCTGGTTTTACTGCCTGGCTTGAGTCATATGCCAATTCCTGAGGCAGTCACTGTGGCAGAGGGATGGAATGTCTTGTCTAGGCCTGAATCATGCACCCATCCCTGGAGCTCCGTGGTGAAGCCAGCCCAACTTGAATTGCATGAACTGAAAGGACACCAGGGGCAGGGTTTCCCAAAGGAAAATTGGATGGCAGATACCAGGATGAGGAAAAATGGATTCTGGGCAGCTGAAAGTAACGGAAGTCCTCCATTACACTTTAAAAAGACCCAGTAGGAAAGCTGACACTTGTCATATAATATGTGTGCACAAGCATATGTATACTGAGAATTGTGTGAAAATAGACACATTAAGCTGTTCACACTGCTTATTCCAGGGGAGTATGATTGGAAAAGGTAGAGGACCAATTATAGTATTTGTTATGTATCTGTATTATTTGACTTGTTGCCGGGAACACAGGTTATTTTTGAAGAATAATTAAAAATATAAAACCTAAAAGTTATAATGAAGAGTTTTCCTCTTAGGAATATTCTGATACCTGGCAATTGCTTTTGAGGTAGTTAGTAGTAATAATAATGGTAACAGCTTAAATTTCCTGAGTGCTTTTCTGCATCAGGCAAATTGTGCATGTGATAGAATTTTTCATTTAACCCTAACAGTAACCTTCTGAGGTACTGTTATTAACAGTGATTGACATGTGTATAAACTGAAACTTAAGAGAAGTTGTTAGTCATTCCCAGACCTAGCTGTCAGAATGACCTGGAGAATTAAAACAAGCAAACATAGCCCCAGATCCTACCATGAGCTACCAAATCAGAATCTCTTGGCGAGAGCCTAATCTATATATTCAACAGGCATCCAAAGTGATTCATTTGTAGTGAGTTTATTACTGAAGTTTGGGAATCGCACTGGGTCATGTATTTAACTCATGGTGGCACATTTCTTAAGAATGAGAGCTGGGTTTCAAACCTTAACAACTGCACTATTAGTGAGTTAGTTATTATCAGTGTTAAAGTTAGGTATGAGGTTTTTGTGCTAAATCAACCTTTGTAGACCAGCATGAAACTCTCTAATAGTTATGAGATATATTTCTATATGGAAGAGTTTTGAATTCTAGGCATCTAATTTACAAGTGACCTTTTCAAATACCAGACAAAGGTTTACTCAGAGCAAGATAATTTTGTCATTGGACTGACTGTATTATGCATTACAATAGTTAGCAGGCTGGCTCAGTTGGAAGAACATGTGACTCTTGATCTTGGGGTCATGAGTTTGAGCCTCATGTTGGGTGTAGCGATTACTTAATAAGAAAAACTTAAAAATTTTTTTCAAAAAAACCCC